TTTTTTTATACTTGCGCGCAGTTTAAAACTCTGAACAAAAATACTCACGCCGCTACATTAACTTTTAGGAAGGGTTTAAACTAATTTTGCTGTCAGAGATCGATAGTAATGGTGAACATATTCATAGCATATATCAGAACATACTCTTTTGGATAATTGCGTTAGTTTTAGCTCGCTGCGATCTTGCCGTGTTCAATCTTTTTCTATGTCACTGGCTAGTGACTTATCCTAACCTGTCTTTTTGATATATTTGATTTCTTTTTCTCAAGGAATTCAAGAGCACCCAGAAGGATTTCAGGGAATGATCAATGATCGACTTCAATATTACTGGATCACACTCGTGAGTATTTAATCAATTAATCAATTAGGGCAGTAGATGTACCAATTATAAAAAGTCTCGACCCCGCGGTTTTTGTTTACGTGGTTGCCAAGAGAGACGAGACATCCTGACCGAGCGCGCGTGACATCACTTGAAGTGCGCGAGCTTTAGTCAGCTTCTTACGCAGACATTTCAAATGCCTGACGCGCGACGCCCTGACCCGTAAAACGTGACATGTGATGCGTAACAAAACCAAAGGATGTTTGCTTAGGAGGATTTTCTAATTGGACATGAAGAAAAAGATGTTCGGTCCTTATAAAAGAAAAAACCACAAACGGAACTTCTTCAATTTGCCAATATCTGAATTCTTTTTCACAGGATTATAATTATGGTGGTAAAATTCGTAGTTGTCCAAAATTGAATACCCCAAGGGGTAAACTGATTTCCACTACTGACAATAATTTGATTAGAACTGATTTTTGTTATTTTCTCACCAGAAAACCGCGTACTCGTGGGTCTCGTGGTACATCGAAGAACATGGTGATGAGATTTATGATATCATTGACTGGAGTATGGATTTCATGTTTGATGAGAAAATCAGAGAACAAGGTTGGTATTACACAAGGTACTTAATATGCATGTAATCACTACTCAGACCGAACCTACTTCCTTCCCCTTTTTCTTTCACGAAGGGAGGGAGGGAGGGACGGTGGGAAAAAGGAAGGAAGGAAGGGAGGGTGGGTGGGTTGGTGTTGTTTACTTAAACGTCTACGTTTTATAGTTTGTCCCAATTGCTATCAAAGGATAAAAAAAGATCAGATCCAGTTGAAGTTGAGGGAACAACAAGCGTTTCTTCTTTATAATGAATTCACTGTTTTTGTTTTCTTCTGAATCACTTCTTTTCGGTCCAGTTGTGACCACCACGGGGTAAGGAGAGTAATAATGTGTCTCACCGACAGGGGTCCTGTGCGGCGCAGTGTTTATAACATGTTTTTGTTCATTATCGACAGGTATCAATCCCGTCATTCTTGAGGAACTGCGTCAGAAACGATTGAACAAATTTGGCGAGTTCTTGGTGATCATCATAATGATCGCTGTGTGCCTGAAGATGATTCGAAACGCTACCAAGAGAAGCTTCTACGAGTAAGTACAACAATGGGGTCATGGAAGTGTGACATAGCTTCCTAAAATTCTGTTCTTGGTAAAGAACCTTTATGTTTATGGAAACTTCAGTTTTGAGTTGTTTTGAGCAATACGTTAAAATTATGAGAGGAATTTTGCTTTAATTATAAAATTACAGCCGTGAGGTCTTGGTCATAGAGAAAGAAAGTGACCGCATAAAATGAGGTGGCGTTATTAACAAGCTCGTTTATGGAGGAGTTCTCTTGTAGAAAGCTATTAACTTTGCTCAGAAGTTGCTTACGTGTCTGTTGTTCGATTTGTTGGTTTAATAAAACGTCCATAACATTTACCAATCTATTTTTAGGGAGCTTAAATTCCGTCAAAGAGAAAGGCAAAGGAAAGAATTCCTTAGAAGCCGGGAGAAGAATTTGTCGGAAAACTGGAACGTCACCATAGCAACCAGCCACACAAAAGGTGCTGGGCGCGGGCGTGGACAGCGGAAATCTCATTAGCGTTCTTTCGGAAAACTTCTTGTATTATTTTATTTTGTCTCGTAATGTGAAACATTATGTGTATTTTTAACGTTCTACTGTGACAAACACTTTATGTAACTGGAAAATAAATTTGTTCTTGATAACAGGATATCGTTATTTATCTAAGTTAGTCCATATTGTAACCTATTTCCACGTTTACCATCCTTCGCTTTCCCATTTTTTCTCGCATTTCTCGTTAGCCTTACGGTTACCTTTCCCGAAAAAAAAAATCAGAGAGCGCTTTCTTCGATTTTTTCTTTCGGGGTGGGCGGCTGTAGCACCAGCTGTTTCTCGCACGCTTCTTTAGCGTTCGTAGAGCAGTACTCGAAAAATAAAGGGGATCTTTCAGTGTCATGAAGAAAAACCAAAAAAAAAACCAAGGAAATTAACTCACTCAATAAGTACTTTTGAATCTGATTTAACTTTGTCCCTCAGTCAAAATAAGCCAAGTCACTTAAAATGTGTACACGATTAAGTTTACACGATCGTAAAAATCCCAGAAGAGTCTCCCCCCCTCTCAGGCAAGTAATTCTCCCGTTATGGAACTCATCTGTCCGGTAGAAGTCCATTAAATCTGTATATTTTCATTTAAAAGCCACCCGTACGCTCATAAACGTTGCCTTCGTCTGAAAAAAAATTCTGTTCACTCCAGCCATTACTACTAATAAGAAAAGAAGGTCAAGGAAGAGTTGATTTGATTCTTTATTACATTGCTTATTTCACTGATTATTGGAGAAGCATCGAATTTCTTATTATCCAAATCATTACTACCAAGAGAAGATGAAAGGTAAGACTGAATCACTTATTACTAAGGTAATACATTTCAAGCTATTTTCAGATCAGTTCTGGCTTCAGGGATACCAGGAGGGTCTGGAGATTAATCACGTGGTCAGCCCCATGTGGCTTTGCTTACATTCTCATCCTCTCCCGCGTTACGCGCGTGGTGACATTAACGCGCAACGACTGGATACCATATTTAAAATGAACCTTTTATAGAGCTAGGGATTACCTTGGAATCCACGGTAGGAAAAAAAGATGGCGGCTGTACATTTTACCAAAATGCCTTGCGAACTTAACACAGCCTATAAGGCACAAAGAAAGCCTTTTTTTACAATATTTGTCCCTGTACTAAGCACATTGAGTAGCCTAGATTTGAAGATTTTATAACGTTTCTGTGCGTTTTTATGAACGTTGTTAAGGTTTTCGTGCGCTAAGAACTATGGGTAAATGTACCAGTCGCCATCTTTTTTCGTACGGAGGATTAAGGACCATACGGGGATTAACTCTCTTTTTGTTTGATTGCTCATGGCATACCGTATGTACAAAAAAGGGGTTGTGCTAGTTAAAATATCTTTAATTTCATGCGCTTGAAAATACTTTTATATACATCTTTTTCGCTTTTTTATGACGATTATTCCGTAAAATTCTCAGAGCCGGTCTGTATTGGAAATGTTCGTTTCAACCTCATTTGAAACCTGAACCTTTGTTTGAGGAGTTATAGTCCTCAAACAGATGCTTTCGCACGTGTACCACTGGTACTTGTTTTTGCCATTAACTGTTAATTAACCTTGTCCAGGGATGGTTAATCTTAGCGCACAACATGTGTATTTGAATCTTCTTTGACCACGAGCTTTGTTTTCTTCCAGGCTAAATCCTTGTAAGAATTCTCTTCTATCGCAATGAACCTCCGGCTGTTCACTTATCCAGTCCCCTCTGTCCACCCACCCTGTGTACCGAGGCAGGCAAGTCAACCCCGCAAAATCCCCCGGAGGACCGGGGTCGCCTTTTTTCCCGTGAGAGCCTTCACTGCCCTTGCTTCCTCTAGGTCCTTTATTCCCTCGGGGCCCCTGGGGGCCCTGTGAACCGCGCTTTCCGGTTTCACCCCTGGCTCCTTTGAGGCCCGGTTTGCCAGGCAAACAAAATACCGGGGGGATAGTGGTGTTCGATGAAGATGGCGTCACACAGTTTCCGGGTATTCCGGGGGGCCCTTGTAAGCCGGACGGCCCTCGAGGTCCCTGAATGAAATGGAAACCGGCGGTTAGTTTATTCATTGTCTTTATGCCGTGGCCGCTACAATTAAAGTAGTCAACGTAAAGACACTTAAAGGTAGCTTTACCCATCAACTTTGAGTGATGTAGATCCATTTTCTTGTCGACTCAACTCGGAAGTTACAGAGTTCAAAAGATAATCTTAAAAGAAATTCTTCGCTTTTGATTGTACATTAGTTTGAGCCTTCTTCGAAAACCGTAAAGTAATCGATCATTTTCGATTCCGTTCCCAAATGGTCTGCTTACGAGTTTTCCATCTATTTTGGTTTGGAGTTGTCATAAAAATGTTGTATTCAAATACAATCATGGCGAAATTAAATGATAAATGTCACACCTGGTTTCCTTTTGTTCCCTTGCCGCCCTGTATTCCAGGAGGACCTTGTAATCCGGGCCTTCCGATTGGTCCAATCTTCAACAAAACAATGAAACATCGAAAAAATGCATACATACAAGAACAGAAGAATTATCAAAAAATTCAAAAGCTACATCATAAGCTAAAACGATTAAAGTGCACTTAATTGTATGTGTCAATGGCTATTTGCAGCCTTGTAACTGTGTAATGCACATAAAACGCGAGACAAAATTGACTAAATATTTATCTCCGGCACTACATGGCCCAAAACGGAATATTCTGTTTTCTGATTGGTACTGGGGTACAGAGTAGTTATTATCCTTATTAGTTGAAATAAAGTTTGCAGGGCTCAAATGGAAAATTTGAGAAAAATACGAGAATAGATTTGAGTGTCTTAATTGAGTTTTGTTGATTGCTGAGAATTTTAACTGTCAGCTTTTCTTCTGAAGTGAAAGCTGAGATCTGAGATCTCCAAAATTCACTCATAACCGTGATATAGACCCTACTTTAGACGTCCTTAGCCTTGTACTTATGTTTCCAGACAAAGGATTTTTCACATGAATGCGAGGCTTAGGATGTATACTGTATTGCTATGATGCAACGTGTCTATGGGCTAAAAGTTTAACTGATAGCCGAGGAATGTCCTATCATTTAACTTACAGCTGAGATTTCAGCCCCCACCCTCCCCTTCCCACACTCATCCAGACCTTGTGATTTACGTACCGATCCCTTGGGTCCCGGCATTCCGTTCACACCGTCGCGTCCGTCGTCTCCCTAAAGCACAGAAAATATGATGTTTCATCATCACACGACTATGACAATCAAATTACACAGACAATCCAGTGAACCAATCAAATCTCAAAGTAATTACATGTAGCGGACGCGAAACGCGGGAAAACGCGTGCGAACGATTCACGATTAGTTTTG